GCCTGCTGAACAAGACACCTTTCTTTTTCCAGGACTTGTGGTTGTCACAAGAGTTTGAAAATCTGTTTCTTTGTAGGAAAAGGCCACCAAATTAGTCTGTCACTAGGTGAATGACAAGACCCTCTAGGTGTTACATTAATATGAAGCAATAAGATGACATGCAGAATAATATAAAATATGACCAAGCCTAATCTGGATTGTCTGCTAAAGGATATTGAAAATGTGTGATCCCTTTCTGGGGGAAAAAAAACCAAACCCAACTTCAGCTAATGGGAATCCAAGAGGCATAGAGTGAAATTAGGGACTGTTCACATGTGTCTTATCATATGGTTTATTGCAATGTTGGGCACATTCACTTATTTTTTTCTACCTTTATGATAGATTGTATACCCCTGAATTTTTTTTTTTTTTGAGTGGAAATGTATGGATTATTTGTGAATACTTGCACATTTTTAAATGGCAAGCTACTATGTAGCAGCAAAGCATAAGCAGTGAAATGTGAAAGTCCCATTTTCATACAGTGGTACCTGCAAATAGTGATCTTTAGACTTCTGGTCACTTTTCCTGACCATTTTTGGCCAAAAGCCAGGGAATTTATAGTAGGAGAAAGACACAAAACCACCAAGACTGTAATCTGTCATCTTTATCAGTTCCCTAAATTGCCAGTTTGACTGGCAATAGTTTGACTCTATTGACTCAGGACCTATGATACACAAAAATGTGAAACTATTAGTTCTGGTGCTTAATATGTTTTATATTGACCCTAGTATTGACCCTATCAGGCTCACCCATAGCATGTCACTGTTTTATTGTAGTGCACCATTTTTCTGTCTATACGTCCTTGTTTCTTGTTTAAAAAAGACTATATATTCTTCATGATAGACATATAGTTTATGCAACATCTAATAAAGAAAGGTCCTGAGCAACACAAGTGCAACAAGAACTCCAGGTATATAATAAGATGACTGTAATAATGTATTAATGATAATTTTCTAAATACATGCCTGTCTCTATGCTCTCGATTACTTACCTAAAGGAACAAAGGACTTCGAAGGCATACTTGGTTTGGAAATGCCTATTGCATTAACAGCAAATACACGGACCTCATAAGCAACACCTTCAATCATCTTCTTTGGCTCAAAAGTTGTTTCTTTACACAGTTCAAAATTCAGCCTCATCCACCTGGAGCTTTGTTTCTTTTTCCTTTCAATGAAATATCCTATTGACCAAACAAAATTTTATTATACTAAGTGGTGGCATAAAACTCAATAGCGGGGGTCTATTTTTTGACTGCCCAATGGCCTGTTTTCTGGATACAGCTCAATATGCCCTTCTACCCTCAGAGCAGTTTAGGGGTTATTGTGAATTTTTTTCCCCATTACAAGCTATCTGATAGTCACCTGTTTGGCTTTCATGGCCACATACAAGCTTTTTTCTGACTTCACTTACAACACTGCTGTATTTAGTTCAGAGTGAAAAGGGCCCGATTCTGCTGGCCTCTGGGCCCCTCTGACTTTCCTCTTGGTTCAGTGTATTAGAAGATATTCGAATTTAATGAGTAAATTGTTTCTGAAATTCCTGCTAACATTCAAACAGGCTAACTGTTCTAAATTTGGAATTATAAGAGGTTGTCTTTCAAGCAGGGGGATTAATAACGTGGCAACATACAAAATGACAAATCTCAAAGTGTTAGAAAAACAGGTATCCGATATAGTCAAAGACTTTCTTGCAACTGGATACTCAAAGTACAGCTCTTCAAGGCCTGAGCTAAACTCATCGCATGGCCTTCATTATTTGGGGTTTATTGCTTTTGTCTATATTAGGGCATCACCACAGAAAAAAAGAGAAAAGTATGCACCTAAGATGGGCGATCCACCATCATTCGCTGGAGGTTCCCAGGTCATAATGCACCAGTCTTCACCCACCTCAGTCACATTTGGTGCCTGAGGAGGATCAGGGACATCTGTTGTAAACAAAGTAAAAGTTATTAAAAAAAATAAATAATCTTTCCTCTTTTTGCATATGTTGAAATAAAAGATGCCAAATAAGAAACATATCTGGATAGTTTTTGAAGTGCAACAAGAGTTCCTAATGAGGAGAGAGAGAGAGACAGAAAGGTCTTTGTGGATACTGGCGGGTGGTTGGGAAGGGATAAGTGCCAAGCTCTTCAGCACAGTCAAGACACTGGAGAGGCACTCGAGGGCATGTGGTAAGACAGGACCCAGAGCCACATGGAGAATGGAGAGTGTTAAGGACCGCCCGAGGCAACTGCACAAGTTTGGCCCCTGCAACATGAGGTGGCAGCAGAGTGGTAATTGATTGCCCCTTCAATCCCATGCTAAGCTCCTGTGTCCTTCAGTAACACTGGGCCTTAGCATCCTTGCACCTCAATTCCCCGTCTGAAAATGGGGACAAACAGGGAAATGGAAGTTTTCTGAGAATCTACAGCAGTTTGGTAGCTAGGGAGGACAGCATCTACAGAAGAGACTTCAGATAAAGGAAGAAGAATTTGTCTCTTGTTGGGGTGCAGAAAAGTAGGGTTCTTCAAGGAGCATTTATTGAAAAGCGCTGTGATAAAAGACATGTCTCATGTGCACTGTTCTGCATGACTTACCAACCACTTTAATGTTGATTAGAGCTGTGTCCTCTCCAGCCTCATTCTTTAATGTTATTCTGAAAGGACCTGAATCTTCCCTCTCAGCTGTATCAATGACCAGACAGCTGCTGTCTGGGTATGTTTCTGCCCGTATTCTTCCACTGTCTGTGATCCACTAGGAATCAAAGTAAGCAGAGGGAAAAAGTCATATTTTCTGAATTTGAGAATCAAAATGCTCAAAAATCAAAATTCAAGTGCAGTGCAGGATACCAGCAAAAATACTAAAGCAACTGTAAGAAAAACCACACTAAAGCTCATCATGTCAGTCATCTAATAATCACAAAAAAGACAAAATAACTGAGGGACAAATAACTAACTTTAAAATATGGTAACTGTTTAGTACCCTGTTCAGCCATTGCATCTCAAGGGAAGAAGCAGTATGCTTGCTTGTCCTGTGAGCAAAAACATGCAAAAATACTACATTGTCATTAATTTGATAGAAAGAGTCGTGTATTCTCCCAAAAGTCAGATTGAAATCTAATTTGTTCAGTTTAAAGGTCAGAGGGATTGCAATTGTCAGTAGTTTGCCCTCACAGATTTCAAATGCTGGCACATATTTTGGAGTAAGAGCTCTCCTAGAATAATTCCCTATTTGGACAAGTCCACAGAGGTGATAGTACAATTAATATTTGAAAAATAGTAGTCAGAGATTTGACCAGATAGGTCTGATGAATCCAATAATAACAACATGTTCCAGCTTCCACATACCACAATGAAAATTTAAATGTGAAAAGTGGCTTTTTGGTATTACACAGCCAGGAACTGATCTGTGCAAAGTTTTGCATTAAGACACCAGATGAAGACCACCAGCCTATTGTTTCATTTGAGACTTGACACTCCATCAGAATTTGTCGTTCATTTTCCAAAACCAGACCATATGATGACTTTCTGTCAAAACCTGGCAGCCATTTTGGGCAGTATGTACAGAAGAAGTAGCCATTTGGTAGATCTTCACTAGTTTTCTTCTGTATCTCATATGTCCCAGTCCTTTTACAATTTAGATATAGTAAAACTGTATTTTTTTTCCTTCATCAATTTCAGCTGTGCCATAAAAAGACCCAAAAGATACTAAATAATATTTATTCATTTTTTGCCTTCATTTTTGAGCAAGAAGAGTTTTTTAAATAAAATGCATCTCCTCATTTTCTGCCATTATCAATGTCTTCACAAGGGCAAAGGTTATTTTTTGAAGGAAAAGGCCCCCTGTTAAGCTAAAGAAATGTGTATAATGACAGTGTACCTTGTCCCCTTTACTCCACATGACTTTTGGAGTTGGCTCGCCAGTGATAGGGATCTCAAGTCGTAGTTTGCTTCCTGCCACTACAGTCACAGTGTTATTTTCCCCAAGACCATCCAGATGGAGTTTAGGAGGATCTGAAAAAGGAGAGATTGTCCAAATTTGCCATGTGGCTGCCACTCTGAGAGCTCAGTGACCTGGCACAGGTCTGCAACATAGAGAAACATGCTCTATGTTTTGTATTTTCCTGGTATTTTTAGTCAACTGATTGTTCAGAAAAAAACAAATATTCTTCACAAATATTCAAGATAATAGTTATCTGATTAAAAATAAATCATGGCACCATAGAAATTTTGGAATAGATTTTTTTTTTTTATGGTCCTACTATCTTCCCAAGGCAGAATTATGTATGTTTAGGTTACTTCTGAGAGAGATTTCCTCTAAGTGGCTCTTGAGAATTTCCATTGCAGGCTTTCTATGACACCTGTTGCCATGCTTGAGACATCCCTGTTCTTACAGTTTAAAAGTTTTCTTAACCTAAATAGTTTTTCCAAAAATGAAATGGTAACTTTTGTTGCACCCCATGTGTATGGAGAACAACTGATAAATATCCTCTTACAACTTTTTTTTTTAATGTATTAGAAGTTATGTTGGTGGGCATACCCCTCTAGTCCTCCTACCCTGTTCATTCTCCCTGAACCTTGCCAACGCTTTTTCTAACACAGATATCCCATCTCTTTCAGCTTCAATTACAGAACATATTTTCTAAAACTCTGTTCAATTATATTGCTCTCCTTTTGACTTTCAAGTTGCTGGTTGCAGTTAAAAGCCAGTGAGGTATTATTGTGGGAATAGTCAATGCCTTGTTTTATTTTTGTTTGAAAGACTGTGATCATTAACAAACCTTCTGTTTTGCTGAGTGAATAAGAAGCTGGTCAGAAGCATTTTGCTCTCTAGATATCATTTAATATATTTAGGGAAGAGGTGAATATGTTATCTTTAAAGGTAAATATGGTATCTTTTACCAAACTAAATCACATTTTGCAATATCAGCAAGCTAATTCTTCAAAGAAGACAACGCTGTATATCTGAAAGGAGGATAGCAACAGCTGTTTTACACAAACTCTTAGTAGTGGTTTTGGTTTAGGAATTCAACATCAAGAAGCTTTCCCCAGGAGCTCCCCCAGGCTTGTAAAATACGAGCAGATCCTGAGCACAGGCAAAACACGCACTGACTAGCTCACGTGCACTTTGCCAGAGCAGCAGGTCCATTTTCTTTGGTAGATGCCTGCTCAGAGGAAACAAACTGATTGTAATCAAGGATATTTCACACTGCTTTTAATTTCCAAAGGAGAGATGTTACATGTAAGTCACTATTTCATATACTTACCCACAACATGCACTTTGCATGGAATATTAATATTATAGGCATCTGGTACAAACATGTATTCACCCTCATCATCAACAGCAGCACTCGCTATAACAAATCTGTGGATTCTGTAAAAAAGTTGGAAAAGAAACAGGTGTAAATGAACACAGAAATAGAAAAATACAGGAGCATAACCTCTTTGACACAGGGATTCTGTGCTGCTGCCATTAGATTGCAATTTGGTTGTTCAAGAAGAAATCTTTAGGTGATCCCCTTGGGGGATTTTTGTGACAGGATCAAATCTACTCTTACAAATCTACTCTTACTCTTACTCTACACAATAAAGAAATAGATGAGCAAAGTATATGCTGCTCTTACTACCTAACTGTCTCTCAGTACAATGGTATTTTTGCTGTCCTATCACCTGCTGTGGCTAAACTTTATTCAAGGTAGGACTCACCTCTGTGCCCTTCCTGCTCCCCTTTCCCTCACCTCACCCTATGGGCCTAGATGGGTTGTGGGGAGCTCCTTTACCTTATGTCAATCCAAGGGGTCATTGCACAGGTGGCACTTGTCCCTTCCTGCGACTTAGCGAGTGTTACAGAATCAATGCAAATATTTCATAGCCTGTTTGGGAACATATTCACAAGTGCAGTTCCCAGCTGCATGAATGGTCTGCTAAGCTGAAGTGAAAGGGATGTAGTTAAAAGGTAGGAACTGTTTTTGTTGCTTTTGGGTGGTTTTTTTTTTTTTTTTAAATTGACAAACTTTCCATGAAAAAGGACGAGTTATAAATGCAAAGGGACCTAATATCTCCGCATACTTTGCATGGGCAGAGATACATGGTCTGAGTTGACACAAACAGAAACTATCAGAAAAACAGACATTTAAAAGCTATATATTTTAAATAATGTCTAACAATTATTTCACTTTACTACTTAATATTCCATACCAGCAGCAACAGCAATGTCAAGAAAATTAATAGCTTGAACTTAGATGTATCAAGGATTTGATTATTGTCCTCCACAGCCAAAAGGCTGAAGATGAAAGGGGGAAAGGAAACATGGCTTTTATGATGATAAAAATAAATATTTGAGGGACAGAGCTTAGACTTGATTACTAGATAGTTTTCAGTGAAGTAACCCACATATTGGCACATCTCTAGAGTGTTATTCCATCAAAAGTCAATGCACAACAGGTTTACCTTCCTTTGTGATAAAGCTTTACGCGGTCACTAGCTTCAACCAGTTGCCCATTTTTGTACCATTTCCCTTCCACGTTTTCAGATATCTCACACTTCAGGTGGATTTCCTGTCCAAGCCTCACAGTCTGGTCTTCTAGTGCAAGTGATATCTTCAGTGGTCTCACTTAGGAAAACAGAAGCAGAGATATTAATGCTAACATCAAGCAATAGTTCAAGATTCTGTCACAGAGCTGCTACTAGACATCACAAAAGTCTTCAAATCAGAAAAATGCTTCCAATAATAAAGTTCTTATGTCGAGATACCAGTAATATATACACGTAAGCTACATAAATTAACCTTTGATGCTTTAGAAAGGGTGATCCAAAATACCCAGGCCCTGACTGGGGAAACTCCATGGATATTGCCAGTAGAAGAACTAAGTCCAGGAGCATAATTTGAATGCCGTCCCCTCTCTGGTGTTTAGGTGCTGGAGGTAGGGTGTTTCCATCCTCCTGAGTCCAGTAAGAAACTTTCAAGAAGTGAAAGACCTGTCCCCCCAGACCTATGCGCTAGAAGAGGTTGCAACCCACCTTTCCCATGATCTAGCAGTGATCTAACTGCTCTCATAGCTCTCCCAGCTGATCTGAGATAATTTGGAGACTTACCAAAGTATTTCGTCACAAGTGGGGACTGCAGTGCTCAACCTGTTTTGTCAGGCTGCTAGCAAAGGCAGGCTGGCCAGTAAGCTTAACTTCATATACTACTCATTCTCATGTTTGCTAAACTGCCTTAACTCACCCTGCAAATACCCACAGGTATTACGAGCTTTTTGTAGAACTCGAGTCTGGGAACTGGTGCCTCAGTTCATTTTCGCTTTCTGGAAGATTAGATGCTGTAGACCAGAGTCCGGGCTGAACACACAGCACCACCTGTATGCAGTAAACATCCCTGACTATAATCTGACACAGAAAACGAGTGATGGGAAAGGCAGCATTTCATAGAAAGCCAGTTGGGAAACCCTCAGAAGAAGTCACATGAAAAGAAAGACAACAGAGGCAATAGCCATGGAGGATAATTTCCAACTTGATAATAGAACAGCATGAACTGGTTGTGCTTAAGATGCCAATTTGTACAAAATTGTCAAAAGCAGTATAAGTATTACAAAACAGTGTATGCTTATGCATGACTTATGATAACTTTAGAGGATGGGCACATACATTTCACTAAAACCCACAGGCTTTTAAAAGAGATATTGCATAAACAATACTGAGGGAGCTACATACTCATGTGTTTGTGCCTATGAGTTCAGGTCAAGTGACCCTGATGCCTGTAAACAGTATGCCTAATTATAGAACTGCTTATTTTTTTCCAACATACTTTTTCTCCGATTTTGGCTAAAAAGCCTTGGTTTGGCTTTCCTGTGAAAACCTGAAAGGATTAAAGAAAAGCAGATACTTCCCTTGAAAATTTCACTTTGTTAATGTATCATATCTTTGAATGGATAGCTTTGCTTTCCATCTTAACAGAGTGACAGAGAGTTTTTAAGCAGGACTGGTTCATTGCCTCTTACTACAAAGTGTCTAAAGGAAAGTCACCGTTCTGGAGATTTGCAGCAAAGAAATTGGTATGGAATATAACTCTCCCTTTAAACACCCAGGAAAAGGCAGGCAAATTGTGTATTTTGTAAACTAGCAAACTGTGACATACAAATTCAAAAGCAAGATGTATTATAGCATCGGAGAATCATAGAATTATACTTACAATCAACCGAAAGCTTGGCTTCTGATTGGCCTCCAGTTGTCATTACCGAGTAAGTTGCATTGTCATTTTTTGCAGCTTCCTCTATGATCAAAGTGTGTTTTTTACCCTCAACCTTGATTCGATATCGAGATTTAGGGTCATTGGGAAGTTCTACACCATTCCTAAACCTAATGGAGAGCAAAGAATGATTATTTTTCCAATAGATGTCCTGTTCAAATAAGACTTCTATAGGCTGAAACTTCCAGAGAAGACTTTATAAGGCTTAAGGCACAAGGAAAGGTTAAACAATCTCATCCGTGAATGTGTAAGGATATTTTTGCTGTTGCTGCATTTTTAAATAATGTTTTCTTGAGATTTTCTTAACAATTTTCAAGTTTACTAGTAGAGAAAAAGCTATCCACATTTTTGCCTACAATTAAAATAATCTGGGTTTTATTCTCAAGGAAAACAGTACCTGCTCAAAATGTGGCTTACCATTTCACATTTGCATCATCCTCAGACACTTCACAGCTCAATTCTACTCGTTCACCAACATAGGTACTGGTGTCCTCCAGGCCTTTGGTCACCAAAATTGGAGGATCTTTCAAAAAAGAAAATTACAGATTTACAATCTGATAGAGAAAAATAAGTGAAAGAGGTTTTCAAAATCATGCTATAGAAGATGATAATACTTTAAAATTGTAATACCACATAATCATAGAATCATTTAGGTTAGAAAAGACCTTTAAGATCATTGATTCCAACCATAAACCTAACACTGCCAAGTCGAGTGCTAAACCATGTCCCTCAGTGCCATATCTATGTCTTTTAAATATCAGTCTTACTGCAGCTTTTTCTCCCTTAAATCAGAAAAACAATTGCTCATTAAAATTACAATAGTAAATGTGCTAAATAAAAAAACCCTCCAAGCCATTTCTTCATATTAATACCAGCTTTGTATCCCTTTTTACTGACATTCGGTCCAGATAAGTCAACATGCAAGGCTGACATTCCCCTCTCATCTGCCACAGATCCCTCTTATAAAGCTGCGTTTTCATTAGGTCCTATAGCTCGTTCTGCACACTAAGATCACCTGACGACCTATCTCAGTACCCTTATTGGTTTAACCCATTCCTTCTATCAAAACTCAATTTTATTTAATAGCAAGAGATTGTACAACAGTTATCCTATGATATTTATAGGGGCAATGGGCTCCATTATTTTAAATAGTTTTCAGAAATATGTGATGAATTTTTTCTCTCACTGTAAGTTTTGTTTTCCTGTTTGTTTTGTTGTGCATGTGTGAGTGATGCTATGAATATTATCAGTAAGAGTGTCAGCACTGTAGGAGCTAAAAGGGTGAAGAAATGGCAACGCATTCATACTTTTGATAGAATCTTCCCTTAAATCTGTGCAGATGGAATGCAAACTAACTGCTAGAAAGCTGGATCTGAAGGTACTTGAAACAGATCAGTTAGATCAAGAGTATCAGGGTCATCAGGTATCTAAATATGGTGTTAGGGAAAGCCAACACTATGACAAACAAGTCTCCAAAATGGCTTTATAACTATGAAGGAGACCACAGCCCCACTAGATCCCAGTGCACAGTATGAAATAAACCATACCCCATTTCAGGGTTTTCACTAAATATGGGATGAGGAAAAAAAATGGTCAGGGAATCATAGAAATACACAGTGATCCTAAGGGCTGCCAGTAGAAATACAAAAATACACTGAACTAGATCTTCCCTGATAATTTCTGTTGCATTCAAAGAAGCCACACCAATTTATAGCAGGTGAAATAGGAACAAGCTGATGAAATTACCTCTCACAAACAGTTCTGTGGAGCATTTCTCATCACCAGCTGTTACATAATAACGAGCATCATCTGTCATCATACAATTATTGATGAATAAAATTCGCTGGTTACCTTTGTGTTCAAAAATGTATCTGTTTGAACAGGAAGACAGCAAAGGTACATTAGCAAACCTGCTAGACCCCTTTTGTTTTATGTAGAAAATGCTTTCAGAATTACTAGAGGTGAAAATCCTGTTTTTTACATAGAACTGGAAAAGTTGTCCTGGGAAGCAATTTCCAAGATTCAACAGGACCATCACAGACTCTTTAGCAAAAAGAACTATGATGTAGGGTAACAATGAGCATTTGTTTATTCCAAAATCCCAGGCTTGGGTGATATGAAAAAATAAAAAAAGTGAGCAGGCTCTGAAGGATGGCAAAAAAAAAAAAAAAGTCTGAAACTCTAGATGGGTAAAGATGAAAATAACCAGTAACAGGACACCATCCTCATTCCAACACTCTTAACATTTTTGTGAAGTAAAATAATAGCCAAGGTTAAGAAGTTAGTATTATTGGTAGGCCAGATGGCACAAGAGATCAGTAATGGGATATGGGGTTTTGGTAATGGGATATTGAGCCTTTCACCTTTATGTCACCAGTTTAGATCTGCTCCAGGCTTGTAATGACCAAAGCTCATTAGCATCTGACAGCTGCTTCAGCAGCCTGGAAGAAACGCACTGGAGCATTCAATCCACGTCTTTCTACTGGAGAGGGATCCATATAGGTGCCTGCGAAATGTTTCTGAACTGCTCATGGCAGATAAAGAGGCTAAAAAGAAAGTGACCTTTATATTATGCATTTTTTGTCAACGATGAATATTAATTGAGATCCTCGATTGACTTTAGCAGCCACAGAAGGAAGGAAATCTTCCTCTGTAAGAGGGCTTTTGGTAATTACTATGTTTTCACAAGGCCAGAGGAGAAAGTTGCTAGGATTATGTGCTACTGAGAAACATTTAAGGAACATTACATTGTTATGCATTGCTGGTTGCACATCCTCATTCCTAGATGTGCCTGACTTTGGAAAGGGATTTTCTGCACCAGGTTGTAAGAGACAGTTATGCCCACAGTAGGGACTGGGCTCAACTTCCAGCCATTGCTTTGCCTGTACTCAAGTGTCTGCACCTGAAAAGCTACTTCTTCTAGATAAAGCCAGAGAATAAAGCAATGTGCAGGTGATATGAATGATGAAGAAGCTTGGGTACACCAGGCCTGTTGTACATGACTGAATTCATTTTGAGTTAATACAGGTTGCTGACTTCAGCGTAAGTGTGAACTGGGTAGTGGAAGGTGAGACAAATCTTGCTCTCCTTTCTTCTGCTGGTTTATGAGCCAGGTGGGTAAGTATGTGATGTTAAACCTTTCAGCACCTAACTACTGCATGAAGATTCTGACCTTCTTCAGACATAGTACTGAGGACAAGAGATTTATTTGCTCACAGTGCGTCCTGACTTTTTAAAAACTACCCTGTAGGAAATGGCTTCATGTTTTGTTAAGGATCTTTAATTCTTTTCTCTTGAGGGAAAGGAGCCAATCTGCATTAATATTTAGCATATGGTGGACTTTTTTGGGTCATGGGCATTATAACATCATTTGCATACTTTTCATGTATAATGAAATTCAGAAATAAAATTGGTGCAACCTGAGCAAAGAGATAGATCTATGCAACACACTTTTCAAGGAAGTAAATGTGTACCCATTTTATTGCTTACATATGATAGAACTACTTACTTTGCACTTGGTCGTATTTCTTGGCCATTTTTATACCACTTGAGTTCCACTGTTGGATCTGCTAGCTCCACCATGAACCTTACTTTACCTCCTTTGTCCACCTGATATGCAGGATCAAGACCCTTGGCAAAAGCTGTTGTGGAAGCCAAGTGTTATTGCAAAAGAAGATCAGAAAACAAGTAAGAATATGAATGCCAAAATGACATGGCATAAATCCATTGCATAAATCTCATCAAAGCTGTCAGAATACATGCACACAATGTTATGCATCACTCTCTGTTCCTAGGCTAGTCCATGTGAATCACTTTATTTTCTAGAAACATTAGAATAAGTGCAAAGCTACGCAGATCTGATTATCCTGAGCAAGTTCAAGCTACCGTCCATCTCTTCATGACTTTGCAGTGTGACTGCATTCTGAATAGGATTGGGTAGACGTAGCTTTGGCAGCTTCCTGAGGATGTCATGTCAGAATAAAATGGTATACAACTGGTGCCACGGAATCATTTACAATGAATCTGTTACAAAGGACTTGACTGCCGCTCAAGTTAACAGGGAATTTTAAGATAAAATTCCTACTGAGCTTCCCACTATCAGAATAAACACATTGCTTTGTCTAAAAGCCAAATTATCTTTCCTGATCCTTTCTGTAGGTTGCATGCTGTACATTGTAGTTCCACTTGTGACAAATGTTACAGCTGCAAAACGTTTGCAAAAATATCTGATACCAGGAAAAAGTTGTCATTCTGTGAATCCTAATGGGGCTTTTCAAAAAGGTTCTTTGAGATGTGCAAATGTAGGCCAAGTTTTTCTGGGCCAGGTGCAACTCAAACATTTCAAAACAATTTAACATCAATATTTAGATATTGCCAGTCACAAAAGTTGTGGAGAGTTGCAGGGGAGCTGATATTTGTGGCTCAAAAATAAATAAATAAATGGTGCCTCAAACAAATTACTCACAGCTAAGTAATCAATTTCTGCTAAAGTTTATATTATGGATATGTCTGGTTGCAGGAGACTGAACATATGGACACAACAGGAATAGAGTTATTAAATCTGAAAAGTATATTTTATGTATCATGTTGCAGTGTAAAACACTCCAATTTATAGTAAAGGTGTTGTGAGGGGAAGAACACCCTACTGTCGTCCAGTCACTACTACAGACATTTTCCCCAGCACCTACAGACCCTCTCCATCTTGCTCAACAGGGAACTGGGGAGAGGGATCAGACGGCCTGGTCTCAGGTGCTGAGAGATGCCCCTTTCCCAGTAAGACGTTCAGACACTTCCACATGATGCACCTGGGTAGGGAGCAGCTCTTACTGCCAGCCACGCAATTCCTGCCCCAGCTTCCAGCACTGCTCCAGATTCCTGGGGGAAGTTGAGGAGTTTCCCTGGGCTTCAACTCCTTAGAGAGCTCCACTGGGTACAGAAACTGCCCCAGTGGCTCATTCAAAGCCCACTGACTCCGTTTCTCTCTCCAACTGTGGCTAGACTCAGCTAAACCAGCAAATGAAAAATATAAATAAAACATAATGTGTAGTAACAGAACTCATGTTCTGATGTGAGGTAATGGGTGAGGAGAGAGGGTATATCAAGCAGCTGGAATGCAGCTGGATTTGTGGAGGATTTCACCTACACAAAAGGGACTCCTCCAGGAAACCAGTGGAACAGCAGATGTAGATATTGCATCCAGTTCTGAAATGCTCTCCAGGAACAAGCAAATGCCACAGTAGTATAATGGGTAGTGCGTTATATTTATATGTGTGTGTGTGTATACCTATTATGCAACATATACATGTATTTTATATACTTATATATACACATACATATAAACACATATCTATATTTATGCATGTATTACACCACTCATACTATTCAGGAGGGTAGATGGGAAAAGACAGGCCTGAATGTCCTCACCCAGTGCAGGGTGGAGAGTTTTTAATACAGCTGGGATTTCCGAGGAATGTCAGATTAAGTGCAAAATGAAATTACAAAGAGCCAACAATGTGTTTGGAGCCACTCTATTTTAGAGCAGAAGATCTTAATAACACGAGGCCTAATTTCTATACTGTTTGATCAGAAATGCCTTTCCACACAACTGGGGGACTTTGTTCCAGTTGGAACTGCTGTTTGGCCAAGAGGGAGGGACACTTTTGGCAAGCACTGAATGGGATCAGGTGGTTACACTAACCACAGTGGATCAAAGACTTCTTCTGATTAACTCCTTGCAGTAGTAAGGCTTGAGTTGTAATGTGCGAGTCCCCTAACATGGAAATGAAGCAAGTTTGGGTTTTTAAGGTGGGCGCTCATGTTTGACTACTGAACATAAGAATATTCTGCCTTATCCATACCTGCACTCTTCTTCACTTCCCTGCGCATGCGCTTCAGACGCTTTAACATGCCTCTCAGGTCAGTGATACCATACTGAAAAGCAATCTTCTCATATTCACTGGGATTCGCGTTCTTCAGGAGCTCCCACACATCTACCTCAGGTTCTTCCTCTTGCTGTTTAACCTCCCTAACGGTAGCAAAATAAAATTATGGGAGAAGAGTTAGTTAGCTTTATCACACCATAAAAAAAAAGGTGAACCTGAATCTATGGTGAGGATAGAAATGTTTTGATCAAAATTTGAAGGCTGCTATCATATTTTTTTATTTCACTCGGCACAAGTAGAATAGCTCAGAGTGACATTCCCACCTTCTTTTACACTTCTTCAGGGCAGAATTTGGATATAAGTTTAAATTTGGCCTTTTCTGATGGAATCAGTTATGAGAGTTTTTATATTGCTTCATTATTTAAAAAAAAAATACAGTTTGAAAATGTAGTACTATAATAGCATATGGGCTAATCCTGCTTAAATCTGTTTCATCTGTTGTAACTTGAGTGGAATCAGTTACAATTTATGATGGCAACACTGAGATCTGAGTCCAATCTGTACATCTCATAATTGTATAAAAATGCTTTCAAACCCTGAGTCCCTGTAATTGCTACTAAGGGTGACCAATGAAAGGACATCGAAATCCAAGGGAATCTGGGTCTGTTTATAGTTACACCAGTGCTTCTCAGAGTTACTTAAAGTTGGCATATGGATAGGAACTGGAGATTTCCACACCAGCTTGGACTTGCAAGATGGATCTGTTGGCTTCCATGTTTATCTCAGTCTTAAGAGCAGGAAGTGCTTTCAGAGGCCTGTGTGAATAGCATCACCTTTATACAGAAATTTCAATACCATATTTACTATCTGCAATTCCAGGCTAAGACAACCAATAAAGAGAAGTATAATTATTTCCACAATGGCAGCCATTAAATGAGAGAACAATGGAAGCATGCTAAACAAAATGACAAGTTTTGAGATTGACAGCTTAGCTCAAAAAGGCGAACTGCTAGAACAATCTGGGAATTGGAGCAGACATCTAGACATTTTTTCCTATAAATTCATTAGGATCAGAAGATCATTCGGATCTGATCTAGTTGGTCTAATGAAATCAATACTTTAGAGAATAGAGCAAGAAAATAAACAGTTGAGAAATAAAAAACCCCCTGAGATTTGGAGTGAGACACTGTTAGAGCTGAGCTCGATCAAGTCCGACAGAGAATTTTTTTTAACATATACAGAAGTAGCACTGGGGGTCCCTGAGAATCTCTGCATGGTTGGATGAGGAACCATGGAAAACCACTTTGCTATTTAATCCATGAGGTTTCTTAATTTTTATAATACGCCAGTGTTATTTTAAAAAGGAAAAAAGTTTCTCACTGAGGAGTCTTTGACATGCTGACATTGCTATCTTAGAATTACTGTCAGACACTCTCAGGTATGTAATTTTATGTTTCATTCCTTTTATTTTTATCTGTGCTCATGCTTTCCGGAGAGTGACTATGTACAGCAAACACTGGCGTTTCGTGAGATTCCTTCTGCATGGTGACCAGTCAAGATCAGCTTGCAAACATATGTATAAGCTGACACACCCCTTGGGGTGGCATTTCTCCTCCCCCAGGGCTGGTTGCTTGCCATGCAATGCCTGTCTGTGCTAAGGAGAGGTACTCACCATGGGAATCAAGATAATGTACCCCTTTAAATCAGGCAGTAGCTGAAAATGAGGATCAGTTAGAGTATCCTTATTTTCAACCCGCTTGAATTAATTAATTCCAGACTCTTTTTTCCTCTGGCGTAACTGGAGAACAAATTTTGACACTTAGAGCAAACCAACTTTGTTCTGAGACCACTACAGTTTCTGCTGTGAGTAGTGGGCAAACAATGCTTGGTATGTCCCAAGCAGACTGACCTCTCCACAAAATCGCTTTCAGATCTTTTCCCCAAAAATGTGCATTGCGTTGAAAGATGTACCTTTTAAAAAAAAGGACCTAAATGTTTGAGTGGTTTTGAGATCTTGTGCCTTTTGGAATTTCGTGCCATTACTGATCCATTGCATTGACGAAGCATAACCAGTCACAGAGTGGCTTACTGAGATAAGAACTGGTTTGTCTTCCTGCAAGACCAGCACGAAATTAGAAAACAGGCAGTATGTAGATTCTATGCATTTAGGTTTTTTTTAAAAACATATTTCAAGTATTATGCACCACAGGTGAAAAGTTCTCGCTCTTTCCTTGATAATATAACCACACAAAAGAGAAGGAGTGCACCTGCAACATTGCCTCTTGAAAAAAATTGAAATGAAAACATGTATTTGTCTTCATAAAAATGGATATTAAGATCCACACTGGGGCTTAATTAGCAATCTTATTCAGTTAAGCTCTTATTCAATGAAGTATGAGGTTGCATTTCGGTGCCTGAAGCAAGGAGGGGATGAACCGATTTGACCAACATCAAATAATGGTGTTTAAAACCTAAAAGTTTGCTTTTCCCATTAACCACACAATAGGTATACTATGTGTATATGGCTATACAGTATTTATCTTACAACACACGTGAGTTACTTGTTAGTGAAGTGATAATGACTCTTAAATCACATTTCTCTTTCCACAAAAACCACCAAGACCTCTTACATGCAAGTCCTATGTTGCTAATAAAACACCCCTCAGGCAGTCATGAGAACTGTCGTGGTAAGTTGTGTTAGTATGATAAAAAGTCAAACTGAAGATCCTAATTAGGGATGAGAAGATTAAGAAACCAAAGACCTGGTGGATTTGAATTGGTTCAGGTAAATCTTACACTGCCTGCTTTTCTCTTCAGTCTTTTGTGTTTGCTTCAGTTGCTTAAATACTATCCTCACCATCATAGCCCATGAGCCCATTGTGAACTTTTTGTGTAATTAATACTGCATATTGGGTTTTCCCCTTTCAGAGTAAGTGGTAGATGAAATAAAAGGATCTAGTTCCTTTTCCAGTTCTCTGTGGTCAGTTGCCATTGATTCCCATGGCATGTAGTATTTCTGTGATAAGTTTAAAAAAAATGACTAATTATCTTGTTTTAATCTGTTAAAAAACTAAGCTAGGTTTAAGTTCTGAAATAGAGGCAAAGCTGTTGTAACACCAGATTTTTAAGGCGAACCAGAGAAACATGTGCCCAAGGTTTTTTCAGTTTTAAGGCATGATATATGGGTTTTCATATCAGGATGCTTATAAAATCAAATTAAGGTGTACCCAAAGAGACAAATTTAACCCTTGCAGTTTTTTCCTCTTGCACCAGATTCAATTTTCTGAACTGCTCATCCCTGTGTAGGAAATTGTCCCCCTCTACCCTCCATGCAAACACAAAATAAATAGCAAGTAAACTAAATGTTATTGGCCTCTTTAGGTTGCGGCTCACTTTTTTCCCGGTGCACTCAAATCTGAGGTTTCTTTTCTGCACACTTAAAGGTACAATTAACTGGACATTTGCATATTATGCTATGAGAATGATAGTTAGAAACGTTGAAAAAAAAATGAACGGTCAGAAAATTCTTAAGAAGTTATTAATGCTACACCTGACTCTTTCTGTGTGCGAACCTAACGGTTTGCAATCCACACCTGCTCACTGCATCACTTGGTTCTCACCTACGTTTCAGGAGACCACTAAAGTCAAGTTCTCCTGCATCCTCTTGTCCATCACCGCTGTTATTAATAGAAAAAGATCAAATCTTTGTTTAATACAGGAAGACTTAGACAACACACATTGCAAACACTCTACACATCTCATATACCCAATACTGTCCAGACACACAAATAGTGGTATAAAATCAACACAAACTTGTATTCTTTTTCACACGAATTATGTTTCCTTAGGCACTTGTGAAAAATAACACAAAGGTTTGTATTGCTTGTTATTATACTTTGATGACAAATTTTTGTAACGGCATACATAAATTTGCCAAGATTTGTGTTAGATTTCAGTAACACAAATAAATGTGAGCTAGTCAACACAACGAGCTTTGTTTTTCATTTCCATAGTGTATGTGTATAAAAACAAAGGGCTTGTGCTGATCTTTTGCTATGAATGTAAAACAAAGATTTGCATTGCTGGATGGTGCTTTTAACAATGCATAGCTGTGTCAAATACCGATTGCAGAGCATTGCATTTAAGATTTAACCTTTCTCTAAATGAAGGAAGAAATCAGTTTAAACAAGTAGAAACACTACATTGTACATTTTTACAGATAGGATCACAATCCTGTGAAGGTGCATTTCTTTCTATAATGTGACTTTAAGCAGTAATACTTTATTATAAAGCACATATAGACAAAAGAAATGCCCTTAATACTTGTTAACAGTTAGGGCAAAATCCTACAAATTTTGTCAAATGATGCCAATATTTCATTCCAGATTTTGCGTGCAAGATATTACTTAGAAAATCAGAAAATATCCAGATATCCTCATCTGCTTGGGCAGAATAGTTATTGCAGTTTTATAAAAACGTGCTCAAGAAAGGAGTGCACCTTGAATGTAGTATCATTTGCATTCAGTCTTCAAATTAAATCTCTCTAAATAAAAGCAGTTACTTCTAAGTTACAACTTCCCTTGTATGTGTAAATTAATAAACCGCATTAAATTTCTTTGTTAAACATTTTCATTCTGAGTACTTCTGGCCTTCTAAGACAATTTTCTCCACAAAACGTAAAGACGACATCTATACTGGTTTGAATTACTATTTTATCACAATCTATACTGGTTTGAATTGTTATTTTATCACAAAGGTAACTAACAAAGGAAAAGACTTCAGACACAATGCTTTATCTTACATACTATGCAATATATTATTTGTAGTTTTTCTGTAATGATGGCCTTATGACATACTTTTTCACTGTAAGATAACATAAAGCCATATCCTATCTTTTATAAATCAGTGTGAATTTTCTCTCTGCTTTTAATCAGTACAAGATAGGGACCAGGAACTTTCATATTGTAGCTGAGAATTTTCAGGAAACACACAGTAGAATATTTTAATGAATTAAAACATTATTTTAAAAACCTCTAAAGAAAGAGATATGTAATTGCCTTAATTATTCCGTCTTCACTTACAGCAATGACACTAATTTCACAGTAGAGTATTTAATATCAGACGAACTGGCTATGAGTTGTAACTATTTCATTCTACCCACTACCAACCACTCCTTAATCTTTATCTACAAAAAAAAGTTTTGTTTTTTTTAAATACTTGATTCAATTGCCTGCCAATATTGATGCAAGTTCTGTGCATGCTACCAGCCTTCATTACTGAGGAGCTTCAGGGGATCACTGTTTGAAGTTACCTTCTTTTGAAAGCAGATCTGATGTCAATGGATGGAGTAGCTTGGGAAGATTCTACGAAATAAAGGTAATAAAAACCATAATTTGAAATTAATGTAATTTATGTAATCGGTGTAATCTGGCATATGAAATGTCTTCAATTTCCTGCTAAGTGACCACAGTTTGTGCTGCTCCTTTGGTAAAAGTTCTGATAAATGCAAAGCTGCTCAACGCTAAGCTAAGTTTACTTAACGCATTTCTCTAAACTACTTTCTGTAGTTCTGTGTAGGACATCTGTCTCTGTGATGTTTCTCTCTGGTCCCTTTCCTGCCTAGACACAGGCTCTGGCCTTTTGGTCTTCCCATTCCCTACCCTTTCTCTCCCGCTTGCCTCTTGCACTTTCGCAGTACGCTCAGCGTCGGAGGGAAGAGGCAGTCTTCTCTACAGCCGCAGACGTGGGTTGATTCTCGAAGCAAGGATGAATTCCCCTTGTGTGAATTACCCACTTGTGCCAGCCTGGATGAGACTAAGTGGTGAGGATCCACAGCCAGAGAATGGATGCAGAGCCAGGCTGTTCCCCGCCTCGCTGCCCTCCGAAGTCACGCACCTACCTATGCCCCTCGGGCTGTCAGTCAGCCATCAAATGTCCCCTTAACTGTGACCGAGTTCCCCTGACTGGCGAACGAACAGTTGGGGCCATTTGGTAGGCGTGCTTTATGAGGGTGAACAACTATTTTGTCCACTGGCTGCTGGCCCTGGCATTTCGGAAGACATCCATCTTTCTGAGTCTGGCCGTGCAGGTATGCGTGCGCTGTTGTGCTGGCAGAACTGCTCTCAAAGGAAACGATAAGCCTGTGGGTTAACGTTTGCCAGAGTACAGCCTTTTATAACACAGAAGAAGACACAGGTATGACTCTCCAGTGCTCTCCACATTGTGCTAATTATTTTGATGAAGAGTGGAAGAAATAGCTTTCTGGAGTACGGTTATACCATGCCCAAACAGGGTGCAAAGCACAGGTGAGCCAAGACCACTCCACATCCGTCTGCTCAGATGCTGCCAGATGAAGCCTCGCTCTCTGAACAGCCCTAAGCCTAGCTCTCTGTCTTGCCTGCCAGAGCCTAATTTGAATTCAATACTAGTTTTATCTGCCAGCTTTTCTAATTTTTGGATAAGTGTCTCACATGCTATCTATACCAATGTTCTTTTAAACAATAAATTACAGACACTTAAGAAAATTCTCTGAGCTCTGTGCTAAAAATGTTCACTTTAAGAATTACTTCCTTTAAACGTTCTGAACAGAACTAGGTGACATTTCAAGTTTAAAAAAAAATAATAATAAAGCTTTATAAAGCTTTACAGACACAAGTGGAATCTTACCAGTGACTTCAAGGTCAAAAGAGCAACTATCAAACTTGTCCTTATAAGATACTTCACAGCGATAGTTCCCTGCGTAGTTTTCTTTAGCTTGAATGATATGCATCTCAAATGTGTGAATCTAAAAATCAAACATAATTGTTCATTAATGCGGGAGATACATTTGCATAAAACAGAAGTTACAAGTTTAATCTTTCAGACCTAAACCAGGAGTAAGGAATAACTCAAGCAAAGGGCTCTGGAAAGAAACTGGAACCCACAAATGGCAACAGAAAACTTTGATTTCCCCACCACTACTTGTCCTGTGCTGGGAGAGCAAGAAAGTCTGCTTCTGTGCAGCGTCAGAGATCATCACTGATATCTGCATGGGGAAGCCAGGGTTAGAATCCACCGCTCTTGAATTTCTACCTGTCGTCTTAAATCAATCTTTAAGCTCTCTTTGGAGCTTCGCCCTCGTAAAAAGCAAAAACAAAGACATACCTTAGTGTGACGCTCAAAGGACTCTTTCAGCTGCAGGTGCTTCCCCGCTTTGCTGGCCAGGTCCATCCATTTTCCTTTAAACCACTTAACATTTGGCTTTCGGAGAAGATCTTTGGCTTCTACTTTGGCTATAAATGTAATATTCCCACCTTTTAAAAAGAGAAAAGAATAATGCAGTCATTGAGGAACATGTGGTTGGTCAGTCACAGTTTCTTTTACTACCGGTCCTTCCAGTCTCCATGTGCTAGCTCTACCGTGACGGTAAGAGTCAGATGGAGTCGCACAGACTATGACAGTACTGAAGTGTTACAGAGACTGATGATCTTGGGTCTGGAAGCCTTTTGCCCATCTCAGTGTGGAGCTTGAGACATTGAGAGGCAGGATAAATTAGTTGAGGCAAAACTCCATGTTGTCATGGGTGAATTGATCCCAATATTTGAATTTCTTTGCTTAAAACAAGCACAGGTGCTTCTAGGCTACCAGGTGGTTGTAACATGAATAAATTCCAGTCTGGAAAAGAAAGCCTGGAGCTCTTCATGCATTTCTTTCATTAATTCTTTAAGCTGAGAAGGCAGGGGAGAGAGTCTTCTATAAACAATAATTTGGGAACAGTAAAAGTTACCTCAATTTTCAGAACACCACCGCCCAGCCCCTGCTGAGTTTCCATACTAACATTCATGGTCTCCAGAGGAGAATACATATAACTCCTTAGATTTATTTTCCAAATAAATCCTCCCAAAATGCTATTTTTCTATTCAGAAACGAAGAAAAATAATAGACATACAAAAAAGCCCAACCATGTGACCACATTTTAGTGTATCCAAGTACACAGAAGACATATTAAGTAGCCCATACCGAACTTCTCACCATTGCTGCTACCCTGCGTAGGGTGCAACTCCCTTACCGTGTTCGTATGGCTCAGGAGCGCAGTTTGGAAGTGAACCTCCTGACTGTCCCCATTTACTGTGCTCTGGTTCATGACACAGAAAGTCTTCACAGAGCTTGAACTGTATTCCTCTGGGATGGAATTAAAACCAAAGATGCGCTCTGAGAGTTTAACACCTGTGTTCCAACTGCTGAAAGGTGTAGCGGCCACCAGACTAAACCAGAGCTACTCCAGAGCAAATTCCCCAGAATGGTTACAGTGCGGGTGACCCTACCAGCTTCCCTACAGAGCTGCCCCTATTTGTCTACCTGATAATTTACACACTGCTGTAGGGTGCAAAAGTTGACCCAGCAACCTCTGAGCCACGCTGCAGACCTTTGGGTAGATCTTCCTGACATATCAGTAACAGCATCACAGTAACCAGCTCTCTTCCCCGGAAACTATACCTCTTACCTATTGTGCTCAGTAAACGACTAGATTTCGAGCTTGTCTTGAATTAAGCAATTGGGTTTTGTTTCTCTTCCTACAGTCCTTTTTTCCTGTGAAGAGTGGAGTTCACATCCAACTAAAATCAGTGGAAGTACTTGTAGCTGAGAGCAGAAGCTGACTGTCACAGGAACCGCATGCCTTTCCAGGTTCTGCCTCAGTCTCTGTCTCTCTGAAAGGGGCTTTTGATTTTTGTTGCTAAGCACTTACCGACGCTCACTGAACCGCTTTTTTTTAACCGCTCTGAGGTTTTTCGACAAATAAAGTGGATCTTTGGGAGTCATCACGTTTTTCTGTCTCTTCTGGAGCTCCTTCTCCAAGAGACCATACTGAGATGCAGAGAGAGAGAGGGAAATGTCAATCATCTGAACTCGTTTTACTCTCTCCAAAATACACTTACCTGAACTTACTAAACTCTCTAACCCTATTACCTCTCTCTTCAGGTGTCCTGAAAGATATGTAAGTTTTTGTTCACACTGACATCCATTGCTTGGCTGTCACACTGTATACAGTTCCTGCAAGAACGCTACCTCTGTGGTGACAGAAAATGAAACTATCAGGGAGGAAGAGAGGCGAACCTCATCAGCCAAGACGGGCACTGGGCAACTCGAATGGCACCAGCATTCAACCATGAGTGCTTTACGGAGGCAATGCACAAAGGGCAGCTCTTTGTTTTTCAGAAGAGATGGAGGTTCTGAAAACACAAACAGCTTTAAGCACAGACGAAACACGTACGATGCACAGTTTTGGTGGGTCTCTCTCAAGCCCAAACTCAGTCAATTGTACAAGCTAGTTTTTCCTCTTTGTCCGCAAAATAGGGCCGGGATGAAGCTTACTTTTGAACTTTGTTCTCTTGTACCGTGGTAGAAGCAGTGAGTTTGGGGATCAGCCAGTACCATCTCCTGCCATGTGCACTGGCTGATATTTTACAGAAAAAAAGTTTGTCAGCTGGAAATGATTGTGTCGCATGTTCAGACACAGCACATTCTCTGCTGGAAATTAAGATTTTAGAAGTGAAAAGGAGCAATGGTACTGAGAGAAGCAGCAAGTGAGTGGTCTCCCCAGGGCAGAGAACTGTCCCAGCATAGCTGTGCGTTTCTGGTCTTTCTGCTTATCTGAACAGCCCTGGCTTTGTGCTATGCAGTTACATCTTGGGTAAATACATGCAAAACCATGGTCAAAGCTGTTTCCTAACAGAAAAAGCAGGGAGAGCAAGGCAGTGAGTGTCTGTCCATTACCTGCTCCCTTTCTACAGAGAGGCAAAGCATGTGTCTCATATGAGAAACGAGAACTTGCGGAGACCAAATGCCACATCTCCTTTTTTTTGAGGAGTTATGGTCAGTGCATAGGGGAAGCTGAGTAAAGCCAGTACTGCCCTGGTAATGCTGAAGAGCAGAGCAAATGTGGAAATGTACAGCTATAATTAACAAAGCCATCTGTCTCTTTCAAATCAGACTCGTGTCTCCCTTGTTCCCCTTGAACTTCTGGTTGTTTCAGAAGCGAAGGTAGCTTTTTATAGTTTATCCAATGCTCTTTTGGTTTTGGTTTCATAACTAGCATACATGAGGAACCAGTCACGCAACACTTCTCCTTAGTCAAGTGACCAAGTCCTGGATTTGAAATGAAAAGTTTCTTTCCTTGCTCAGTATTTTCTGTAGAAACTCATTTGCCAGAAGTCAAAACCTTTCTAACTCATGAAAAGTTCCATCGCTCATGAATGCAACACAACTCATGACAACCATCAGAAAATGCAGCAAAACTGTTTTTATTATCCTAAAGTCTATTAGGAATTTTTAAAAGGTATAGAAATATTTGATAGCATTGCTATAAAATCTTTGCCTTTCAGTCTTTAAGTGACTTTAGGGTGGTATGCCTAACACCTCTGTATACGTCTGCTTGTACAATATGTCTTGCAGGTAAAGACATACATGTATATACACACGTATATACACATATATGAAAACATATACACAGACATACACGAACACAAATATATATATAGATACACATCTATATATACTCTCTATATAACCTAGATATTTAGTTTATGCCAGTATAACGTGCTAGTATATGGAAACAACATAAGAACAAGTGAGAGTTACTGGTGTGAACAAAATGGTGTGACAATGCTTGATAAATGGAAGAAGCTTACATAGAGTCATTAATTCAGTACCGCATAACATAACACCTAAATATTACGGTCACCTTTAGGTATTAACATTTTCCTATTTATTAAACAAACAGAAGGAAACGTGGGCTTGACGTTGGCTCGGGGGGGGCTGGCATAGGCGGCTATGCCAGGTCAATAAGCATGGTTGAAGTACCTGCTGCTCATTTTGTTCCAGAGGCTGCAAATCCTGAAACCACAAAAGTGGGTGCAGTATGCGTTACCTGCCAGGGTAGGAAGAAAAAGGTTATGACTTTGCTAAGTTTTCCCCACCGTCCTTTGAGCTGTGAGAAGAAGCCAGTCTCCTACAGTCTCCTGGGGCCTGTGTGTGGGATGCAGGTAAGCCACTGTCACCCTGTAGGCTGAGGAGGAAGGGAATAGTCGCATATCTATCTATATAGAAATAGATATAGATAGATAGGTATGTATGTATGTGTAAAATACTGGTACGTGTCCTGTCTTGTGCAGCAGAGCCTTCTCTCACTCCTGCTTTAGCTGCCAACACCTATTTGCTCTAAACCTAAAAGCATTTCTACAGTTTGATACTGTATAAACAATTAAATTAAATATAATCTTTAAGAAATAACTTAATAACCGTATTTTGTAAAATTTGGATGGTTTCAACATGTTTTTCAGGAGGTCTCACCTGAATCTTTTCTTTCCGCTGGCCTAGACATCCCATCTGAAAGGGAAGAGCAATTTAGATGACACCAGCTCAGAGATCACCGCTTAACTGACCTCAGATCATTGGGATTTAAAGAACATCGATTCTTCATGCAAGAAGATTAGACTAGATATTTAGGACCAGACCCGTGAGAAACAATTTGATTACCAGAAAAAGGAAGTGAACAGCTGAGAAAAAAATTCAGAAATTTTCCCCCTTTTCTCTAGAAAATCTAAATTAGTTTAGTTTAATTCCCATTCAAGATTTCCTTTTTAGTATTTCATATTTAGAAGGGTTCTTTGAAGCTGATGATTTCTTCATGATTTGTGTACTTCCAGATAACAGATGAATATATGTTGTTCAAGAATTATTTAAATAGTCTATTTATTTATCTAGGTTGAGCAAAATAATAATAAATAGTTAAAATTAAATTTTAGGGTTTTGTGATTTAAAATGTTATTTATATATTTAGCTTTTACCAATGAGGTCCTCTACTACTGTAAATCAATGTACTAACTTCACAGATAGCATGCAGCCCAAAGTTAATAATGCAAATTCTTTTGGTAGAAATCAAGAAAATGCAATCATTTAGGGCAGTGAAGACAATTAAGAGCATGTTTTTCATCTGATACCGTGCAAAGCATTTTCTAGTCTTCAAAATTTCTGCTTCATTTACAGTCTATTTTTAAAAAACATATTAATCAAGCAATGGAGAAATTTTACCTATGTTACATCTATCATGATGGACCCCTGTGCTGTCGCTTTTCTTTACTGCCATCAACCAAAGGGATTTTATCTGCCAGTTTGGCAGCAACGGCTTGGAGCAGTACATTCAAAGTACCTTGTAGGTCATATGGCCTAAGGTGAGGTGATAGGCAATTATGTGGATAGACCTGTTTTGAAATCATAAGGCATCTGTTTTATTTGTAATTCTGGAATTTGCCTCTCAAATCTAACCCTAAAAATGCACTCCATGTTTGTGGATAGGAAAAGATAAGGGGAGTTGCTTCCAGAGCTGCTGATATTTTACCTTCCAATGGCAGAAGTTCTACCAAAGACCTCAAGACAGGACTGGAAAGGAACTTTTCTGGTATGAAGGTCTTGTAGTTCTGAACAGAGATTAATTTATTGTAGGGCACTTCAAAAAACTTTTTCTCTAATTAGTATGTCTTGAGTTCAGTCCAACGGTTTGGGCTCTTTCTTCATTAATAGGCAAGAGAAAAATACATACATACATACACACACAAAGCACTATCGCAGTCCTAACCTGCTGGTGGAGTACTAACTGAAGTGTCATCTTCATCTGTGAAAAGAAATACAAATACAAAAGTACATAAAGAAACTGAAAGCACAGACGATCATCTGCTTTAAAACAACTACGTGAAAACGTAAAACCTGCAAAAGAAAGGGAAAGAAATCATAATAGTCAGGAGCATTCACAATGGAAGTTTCAAACTGATGAAGAAAGCTTTGCGTAATTCAGTAGCTGAAATGGTAAACCTTAATGTTTCAAGCAAGTAAAAGAAAAATGAGATGTGGACTGTGATCTATTATTAAATCATGAGTTTATATGAAAGCTGCTGAGTGGTTCTGTTTGTTAGAGATGTAATCCACAGTAAATACAAAAAAAGCCACAATGAAATCAAGGTCAATCACATATCTGACCTGAGGAAGATGCCATTTCTCTGATGTCCATGTCTGCAATTAAAATGTGCACCATATATGCATTCAGCATCATTAAATCAAGGTATGCAACAGTTAAAAATAGTCCCCTGTATTAATACTTTGCAATTTCTTTATTAGAACATTATTTTAAAATGCTAGGAACAAACAACTCACTTTTTGCTGCATTATAAGAGACTAGTTTAAAATACAGACAGAACTGTTATCATCACACTGGATTTTCCTTTTAACCACACTAAAAATTGACCATCATCAGGTATTAAATCACTACAAGCAATTGTTATCCAGGTATTTTAAAATGTTTAATGTCATAGAGTACATTGATGTATATATTTATATAAATCAAAAGTCTGAAATAACATGAAACTGGCATTAACCCTGAAATGCTGTAATCATGATTATTAGAAAGCCAGAATAAGGTAAAGACTATCTTTACAAGTCTCCTATATCTTTTTGAATTTTTTATGTTGACTAGAAACCTCAGAGATACCAGTTTCTGATAAAAATACGCAAAAAGTCTCGGTGTCTTAAAACCCTAATGGTAAAATAATAATAAAAAAATTACCAATGTAGAATTTGAAAGGCTAGAATAAACTAGATCTAGTCAGGATTTGATACGTACATAATGTAAAGATAACGTGTCTTTTACATGGTATCAGAAAATCATCTGGAGAACAATTCAAAGTGGTGGAAAAGACAGTTGAACAAGAATATCTTTGGAAAAATATTAACACACATTTTTAAAGAATGTTTTGGTTGGTTTTTTAGATTTTAGATTTGTGTTTCCAGAATCAAATTTTAACTCCGAAGTTATCCTTTGATTTTGACCTTAAAGTTATAATTTGTCTATATTTTCTTAAGGACAAATATAATAACTATGAAAAAAACACATATAAAACATAGTTGCATTTTTGTAAATACTGATCTTATTAATTTTTTATGCTTGCTTAACCACTGAAGGCTAATTTAAAGTCTTGATAGAATTTAACTACTCAGCCGTAACATTTTACTCATTCCTTTTTGATGATTCATCAGACTTCTTTTTAAAATTCCCTTGGGAGGAATATGTCAGTTGTAAAAGGTAGGCCTACATATGAAGGATTAATGTGTTATCTTACAAAAAATAATTTCGTATTCATAGCAAAAAAAAAAAAAGAATTCATTTAGTGGAAGAGTTCTAAGAGTTCTCACCACCTGCATCATCCAATGGCATAAGCAGACCTTGGCTAATTAATCCTTCTTTGTTGTTGTTCCCTCCTCTCGTTCAGTGATGACCATGGGATGTAAGCATGAGAGATATGTCAGGCATATATAGGCAGGGTGGTGAACAGGGCAGAGACACAGTTTAGCAGCTGCAGGTGACTTCAGAGTGCCTTAACATTTATCTGTGCTACTGCAGGAGGTAGGTAAACACCGCAAAGAGTGAACCCTTGTCTTCGCTGAGTATTAATAAATACAGAGTAACTCAACCAACTGGCTGAATCAGTTTGGTTTATGCTGAAATTGCTGAGCGCAGTTTAACCTTTCTGAGAGAAGGGGTTTAAAATTTGGTTGCCTTCAATTACCCATCTGATTTTCAAAAAGTAATCAGCAGTCCCGTCGAGGGGACTTGGCACGTTGGAAATAGTAACTGAAGTACGTACGTACAGCAATGGAAATTTTAGTAGAGAGATGAATGGATAAGTGAAACCTGGAGAAATGCAAGAATGAAACATGCAGACATTTTAGTAGATGGTTGAATGGAACCTAGAGAAAAAGATATCAGTAAAACATGCAGAAATTTTAGTAGGTCTCTGAATGGCTGGATGGGACCTAAAAAAAAAAAGGAATGAGCAAATTGATATCTAAAATAATTTATTATTCCAGCAATTTGGAATACAATTACAACAATATTCCACATGTTCGATAATGCTAAAACTAAAAACAAAGGCAGAAGTATGCAAATTGATGAGTATGAAATAACGTAGTAAATTTGGTGATTTCTGCTGTTTCACTTTTTTCTCTGAAATAAAATGGATAATCATATATATCCCGATTTTTTTACAAAATTACTTCAGATATTTTTGAAACTAGAAATGCTATAAAAGATTAATGTATGTAAGAAAATTTTATTTTTACTGCTCTGAGCTACTGATTTACAGCGAAATAACCACAAGACGACAAATTTATCACAGTCCTCTATTTCTTAACGTTACAGTGCACATAAAGAGACGTAACTATCTAATTTCACACAGACAATAACTACTAAAAAGAAATAGAACAGTAAAACAGACACACAGATAGGTATACTTTATCTTCCTTCCTTCTGCTGTTAATTTTGTCTTAGAAATGAGGTGAAAATTATGGACTATGTGGTTTATGTGGACTACCAAGCTTTCTTTCCTAGGTGCCAGGTTCCAGCACAGCCTGTCCATGCTGCAGAGAAGGGCTGTCCCAGGTGCCTACAGAGTGCTGTTTCTTATAAACTAGCAGCAAAGAGGTCACAACGGCTAACACACAGCTACTGTAGAATTGCTGTGGAATTCAGATAGAAAAACTTTCACATCTCGTCCCCAGTCAGGGAAGTACCCAAATCTGTTACTTCTGAAGCTACAGAAACAGTTTTATAAATAGCCTATGCAAAAGCTAACCTCTAGCTGGTTCTGTCCTCGTTTCCCTTCAGTAAAGAAATTTTTTCCTAATATCCAATCTAAACCTCCCCTGACGCAACTTGAAGCCGTTTCCTCTTGTCCTGTCACTTGTTACTTGGGAGAAGAGACCGACCCCCACCTCACTACGACCTCCTTTCAGGTAGTTGTAGAGAGCGATAAGGTCTCCCCTCAGCCCCCTTTTCTCCAGGCTGAACAACCCCAGCTCCCTCAGTTGCTTCTCATAAGACTTGTTCTTCAGACCCCCCACCAGCCTTATTGCCCTTCTCTGGACACGCTCCAGCGCCTCAATGTCTTTCTTGTAGTGAGGGGCCCAAAACTGAACACACCATTCCAGGAGCAGCCTCACCAGTGCCGTGTACAGGGGGACAATCGCTGCCCTAGTCCTGCTGGCCTCATTTTCTCATACATTCATACACTGATTTTCTAGTGTAAATGATTTTGAAAAGATTGGAAAAATGGAACCTTTTCCAGTTTTGTGAATTACGCTCGCCATTGTAAAGATTTTCTTCTGGCAGACAAACATGAAGGAATCACTCTAAGAAGGTATACTTTCCCTTACTTGGTGATAATCTGCAACGAAACAGAAGCTGATAGGAACAAATGCACTATACCTAATTAAAAACACATCTACTACCTAGCGTCTGTAGTTGACATCTACATTGCTTTGCAGAGGTGACAGTTTCACTGGAGCATGGCAGAAGGTCATTTTTTCTACATATTGATATTCAGACTTTCACTGGAATTCGTACTGAGGTGGCTGCTGCCATAGGTGAACTGAAACTGGAAATACTTCCCATACTTGGATGTCAAACAATTTTTTTGGTAGCAAAATCCTTCTAGACAGGGTAAGCACCAAGAGAGCATTTTTCCCCTCAGGAAATACCTGTGTTCTTTACTAGGCTCAAAACAGAAACATAATAATGTATAAAAAGATAACAGAAGTCTTTGATAAGATACCTACCATGTTTTCTTTTTTATTCAGTAAAATGTAGACTTGTAAGCAGTGGGGAAAGCACCATTCATGTTCATTCCCAGAACAAACATTTCTCTCATATCAAAATTAAAGCAAGCAGAACTAATTGCTGAAATAGCTGGAGGCAAGACCTTCATCTTTTTTTCCTATCATTAGGCATGCAAATTATTCTTGAATTGTGTTTCCATTATCAAGATGACAGATTTGATTACTCACATGAAATTTTGTGTGTCAAAATAATTGCTCAATGCAAAGATAGCTGGCAAAATAACATGCACCGAATCCCGGTTGAGAATTTTTATTTTCAAAAGGGTACTTGAATCACACACTCTCAGTGTTTATATTTTGACTTTGCTGAGAAAAATCACCACGCATGCCAAATAAATCTGCAAGTATCAAGTATGGATCCAGTCTGTCTAAAAGGCAAGATTTTGTCTAGAAGAGACCAAAAGCCAGAATACATTTCAAGCAAGCCATTTCTTGATTTGCCATGAAAAAACATAACCATGCCAAATGAAAAGCAAGCACTGCATCAGTTGTAAGTATATTTTGGTCTGCTTTAGCCTTTTATCAGAGCGAAGGAAAAAAAAAAAAGCTGATGAGCTGTTTGAATTCTACTTTGGCAGGGAGTACAAAAAGGAGTGGAATTTGGCCCAGTTCCCTCAAAATGTATCTTTGTAACTGGAACAATTGCCAACAGAGCTGGAGTCTAACCTCAACGGCAAAAAAAAATATATTAAAAATTGAGCTGATTTTTACATGCATGGCTAGTGGAACAGTTATGGGTTTGTTCACAGCAGACGGTCCTCAAAGACATTTTTGAGAACTTGTAATGAGCTCAACTGCTGGGCTCCCAATAAGGACAGAAAGACAAATGTATTATTTCTTTTTTCAGGTGACAAACAATCTATTGGACTTTGCTGAAAGGTAAAACATGCAATACTGAGCTTCTGTGGTAGAATAGAAACAGCTTAGAACGACAGCAGGAGGTTGTCCGGTTTATTTAAAAGCTACCAATGTGCGTAGTATCTGAGTTTTAGCAAGCTTGGTCAGTGTCAACATCCGGGCTCACTTAAACATGGCTTTCTGCTCATGCAAATCACTTGAAATTTGATCTATTAATTAAACAGTCTATATAAATATTGTTGCTAAAGCGTCAGTCTTGTGCAGAATTTTTGAAGATACCCGTAAGTATCATAACTTCCACGTGTTGGATAAGTCATGCAGAAAAAGGATCCAGGAAGCTTCACAACCCACTTCTGAAATTTGGCACCAAAATTCTGAATTAAAGCTCAAGCAATGCAGCATCAGAACAGTGTTTGGGAATGTTCTCTTGACTGCCCATTTTTAAAACATAATCTCAGACTCACCTTTACCCTTTCCAGTTCCATCCTCCTGCGGCGTTTTTTGTTCTGTGTAGGAAGTACAAGTATATTTTTGAGAGGATCTTAAAGTAAAAAGAAAAACTTACACAGCATTAAAAAATACAGCAATATTCTAGGTTCTGCTAGTACTGAAAAACCAAAATTAAAGAATTATTGATATATGTGTATATGTAATATACAGTTGTGATCCCATAAAGCATTATACAGCTCTGTGCATTTCAATGCGTTTTCTATATATTGAAGGAGTCGTATAAGATTGATGTTGCTTTACTCAGTGGAAGAAAAATACTGAGTTCTTAAGAAGTAACAATTGTTAGTATCTTGTTCTTGGGCTTATCCATGAAAACCTTTGCAATGAGTTACATATCATTGTTAATTTGAATGGAATTGGATCAGACATGAGATACTGCCAAATATTAATGGTATCCAGAGCTCCATCACCCTAATTGGTTTATCCTTAAGACAAAGTAGACAACAAAGAGACTGTATTGAGGGTGGTCTTAATTCTTTATCATCGTCTTCATCATTATCATCATAACCTCTCGTAGGTTATTTGTTTTCAGTTTTCTTGATCAGAAGAGTTGCCAGCTTGTCCTCTACTCCAAACAGGTTAACGTGAATTATCTTTGACCTCATATGTGTGAGAAATCTTGGACTGGATTTTCAACAAAATAAAAATTTCTATGCTTTCTCTCTTTCAGGATTCATTAGGATTCATATTCTCCTATCTCATTCAATTTGTATACAAGGCCATTTAAAGACTTGTCAAATCACATGAATTGTGTGTCTTCAAGGTGTAAACACTCAATATTCTATTGCCTGTGAACAATTACTTTCTGTGGCAAACTTACCTGTTAACTGCCTGATAGAACATGGGTTTGGATGAAGATCAATGGGCTAGCATTGTCAAGATGGAGCTAAGATAACTTTTGTGCCATGGAGAAAACATCTGCAAGAGCCAGTTGATATTATGATTACCCTGATTTCTTGTTCACATGTGTGTAGCCATGGTAACTATGAAAATAAAACTTGAAATTTGGAAGACAAGTCCATGTTCTGGAACTGTGACAAAGCCTCAGGTGCTTCTGTCTGGATTCCCTAAGTTTCCAAGCTCCGGTTTTCAGGTTGTCCATCTTGGCCTAATGGTAAAACCTGTTCCTTTTCAGTGGGAATTTTGCTATGGGAACATTTTCTTTCCTGCTAGGAACTGGGATTAGGAGAATTCAGTGTTCTTGGCAGGTGGTAGCATGTCTAAATACAATTTGAAAACCTTATCAGGGCATAGCGTACAACCTGATGGCTTGACATTGAGATCTAGAAGCAGCTCTTACAATGGCTTCCCAAAAATTCCTGGTGTAGTTCAAAATGCTGATTATGTCCAATAAACTATTTATATGTTACAGCATTTGGATTCTTGAACAACCAACTTCCCTCTTTGTGTGATAGCACTTGATAATCCAAGATGACAGCATCTTGAGTCAGGCAGGAGGAAGTTAGAAGTGACTGGCACTTCCAATTTGGTCCGTGCCTAACCATAAATGCCTACCGACACCCTACTTGTTTTACAGAAATACAGGGATGGGGAAAAGGAAGCAGGTTACAGGAGTGATTTCATATTTCATCCTGTGTATTTAAATAGAAATGAAGAGATTATTTATTTGAAAATGTTAATAGATGTTTTAAATATAATGCTTCAAAGATGTTATTTCTTTCTGTCTACAAAAATCGGTTCTCATTTTAGTTCTACTTAAAAGTTAAGATTGATAAAGCACATGAATTCAAGTACAAACTATATTAGATAAGAATATCAGTGTGAATATTTTGAAATTAATTACTTTAATATCAGGTGAGCAGATTTTACAATTGAGTAAAATACAACCATCTTGAATGAATTATCAATTAACTTTCCTTACAAATATATACAATATGAAAGAGTTCGGCCTAACATAAAAATAGTATATGGGTTATTTAAGCATGAGACTCCTTGTGGCAAATGCTACTGCTCCCTCCAGACTTCATCATTTTTTAATGAAACAGTGTATCATTTAGACAAAAATGTCTTGAATCAGCCTCTTAAAATGCCAGTTTGCAAGACTGTAAGTAAATACAGGTTTAACACCTGCAGAGTATTTATTCTGTTTGGTATTGCTGTTTGGGTAGCTACACAGAGAATAAAACTCACCAAATGGTTAAATTAGACATGCATAATGTATATATATATTAATCAGCATCTGAGACTATAACTCAAGTTACTCAATGCAAATCAAACCCACAAGGCAAAAGCTTGCCTACCTTTCCAGCTCCAACTAAAGAAAATGTAGCAGCTTTGCACAGAGCTCCAGCTTTACCTGAAGCCCTGGTCCTTATGAATGAGTTTCACTTCACCTGACTTTGGCTTCCTGGAAGTTACTCACCCACTCCAATCCAGACAACCAGACTCCTCAGAGCAATTGCCTATATATAGACATCCAGTGACATTTTAGGTAGGTTATCCAGGAAATGCCTGTTGCATGAGCGTGTATGACCCAGGATCTGCTCTGCTGGTTACAGGTGGAGCACTGTTGAACAACTTGGACAAGATACCTAATCTTCAGATGGCTAAAATTAGGTGAAATGAATCCCGTGCTTGATTCTTTCAAATTTACTCACAGTGTACATTCAAGGAGAAATGAAAGGGAATATTTTGGTAATTAGATGCTGTTCAGCATCAAAGAAGACAGCAAAATTTAGCCACAGAATTTAAGTGGTCATCTTTTTCCTGTATCCTGAAGGACATTTGCATCATTACGCAAACAACAAATCTGTCACAAGCAAAAGTTGAGTCTGAAAAATCAACATTCAGTGGGAACATCTTATTTGGGCACATTTTCTTATTTTTCTTACTGTCCTCTCACTTTCAAAGGGACAATTAACACAAATCATATTTTAGCTGTGCAGTTTCATGCAACTGTTGTTAGTGTTACAGTGCAAATTAGCATTTTTCACACTAACCTGGAGGTGGTGGTGCACTTTCAGTTTCAGTCTCTGAAAAATGAAGAAAGAAGGCAGATATTGAGCTTCAAGTAAAAGCAAATTTTTTTCACACATTTGGTATATGCTTGTTGAATTTGGATACAGTTTGGTTTCATTTAATATTTTAATGCAGTTCTCAATTGTTTTTTGCTTTCACACGTGCAACACATGGCATCTTCAGAGTGACATGGTCAGATGCCTAACGCTTATGCTCTGTGAGGAGAGGGTACTGAACTTGTTCAGCCTGGAGGGATAAAATACTCATAGAATCACAGAATAATTTAGGCTGGAAAAGACCTTTAAGATTGAGTACAAGTGTTAACCTCACACTGCTGAGTCCACCACTAAACCACATCCCTAAGCACCCCATCTACACATCTTTTAAATACCTGCAGGGATGGTGACTCAACCACTTCCCTGGACAGCCTGTTCCAATGGTTGACAACCCTTTCAGTGAAGAAATTTTTCCTAATGTCCAATCTAAACCTCCCCTGGCTCAACTTGAGGCCATTTCTTCTTGTCCTTTCGCTTGTTCCTTAGGAAAAGAGATCAACCCCTTCTTTGCTACAACCTCCTTTCAGGTAGTTGTAGAGAGCAATAAGGTCTCTCCCTGACAAGCAGGTCATCTACTTGCATGTATTCGTACTAATTTATAGAGGTGGGCCCCAGCACATTTTGGGAGCTTTTGGCAATTGAAGTTTAGGACACTTCTGGAATATCATGGAATCCAAGCTGAATTTCAAGTTTGGGTTTGCTTTGTTTAAATCAATCGGTCTTGAACCTATGCTTAAATGTATAACTTAACCACAACAATATGCTTCTGTCAGATGATATCCTATGTTTAAGCAAACTTTCCATCAACTGGAATAATATCTAATATGACTTTAATCGTGAAGTCTAATGGATCCATTTACTGAGGAGGATCATGCACAGAGAATCCATAGGCCTTTATCTCATTTTTACCATGCCATTAGATCTAGAGTTCAGTGTTCAGTGCTAGCAGAAAGTGAAGAAATCAGCTTAGCTGCCTGGCATAGGACCTACAGTACGTTTGGTTTTTCTTTCTTTCTTTTTAATCTAAATCACTTCCCTTTCAGATGTGAGATACAGAAACCAGGCTTTTTATCCTATTTAAATGTTATCTTTTTGGGATGACGTGTTCTCCAATCTAAAAACATAAGAATAAGTTAACTAGATAAAAATTATTTTTAAAATGTTAAAGGAAGATTATTTTCAACCTATAAAAGCTTTAGGACTCTAGACTGATTGAAAATAGTAATATTTATTCGAGATGATAGTGCATTGACTTGTAGTTCAAATACTTGCAACAAGCAAAGATTTAAAAGGTTGAAATCCTTAACTGTAACAGTAGATGGCTCTTACTAACTTTTGTCATGTTGTGAGTATTAACCTTTGGGACCCCACCTCAGGTCATATTCAGGAAATAAAGTTTCAACTTCTGTCACACAGAAGTGCTGATAAGGTTACTCCTTTGCACTCAGGTCTAAATATAACTAAACCATACTTCTCATTCTTAATAAATCCATTTAATGTTTAAAAGGGAGGAATACTTTTAGTACAAATATAATTTTAAGCTGTGTGTGTGAATTTGATATTGTTTAGGAACTTCCAGCCGCATTACGTGGATGTTATAGCAAATCCTTGCAGAGGGTCCAAAGAGAATCCCTTGCTACAGGTAAGAGCTCAGTGCTGTATCTTCTGATCATAGCACCCGTCACATATAATAAAGGGGAGAATGTATATTAAAGGCCAACAGACACGGAGTCTGATAATTATAAAATAGCTTTACTTGGGTTCATAGGATTATTTTTTTTCTGGTCTAATTACTAACATATGAGTTGCTTTGTGGGTTAGGAAAATATGAACATTTTTCATATGAAAATATAAAATTCTGCCACAAAAAGTACATGTTGGAACATATCCGATTTACTACCATGACGTTTCTCACTGCTTCCACTGAGAATAAAATAATATCTCTGTGGCATGGAAGTCTATTTCTTGCATGGAAAAGTAATAGCAGAAAATTATTGACTGTATACCTGTCCTTATGAAATTTAATAGTGAGAAACAGGGAGTATTTTTATGAATACTGAATTAGAAAATTATCCCTGGCTCACCAGCAAAAGCCACAAATTTATAAACAAAAGCTCACCAAGCTACACACTTTCCAGGCTTAGATGAAAGGGTTATGAGCCTTTTGAGGGACTTGCCTTGAGTTTTTCTTTTATTTTGAAAGGTATTTCATGGCTTCATCACACAGTAGCGTTGGTCAGAAATCACACATCGTTCCAGTCCTGTCTTACCAAGCAGTAGGCACAGATGTTAGCCAAAATCTACAGCACAGACCAGTCCTGAAACACTATTACTATAGTCTAATCTTCAACTCACACATGCAGACATACAAGGAGATACTGAAAATATGAGCAATGTCATGGGCAACCTACTCTAAATGACTCTGTTCCTAGCAGGGAAGTTGGACTAGATGATCTCCAGAAGTCCTTTGCAACTTCAGCTTTTCTGCAATTCTGTGATGGGACGATGACTGAAGCCAGACCAAGAAGTCAGTAGTTTCTTTCCTAAACCATAATTCAAGGCTGTTCAGACTATCGCTAGGAAAACTGAGGCAAGAACTGAGCTCATGGGAGAGACCTGAACTATAGTGAGTGAGGAAAAAAGGAAGGGGGAGAGTTCCAGGCACTGGGGGTGGCAGAGACATGGGAGATACTTCAACATAATCTTTTGGCCATGTGTGACCCCTTTCATGGTCATGCTTGGCTTACAGTTCCATTCCTGAGGACAGCCAGGAAAAAACCCATTAATAGCACCGAGTAGTTTCCACCTCCCCAAAGAATGATAGCCCTCTCTGGCTGACCTCTGCAACAGGCTTGTCAGCCAGGAAAGGGCTCCGTGCACTCAACCAGCAGCTTATGGTTGTGCTCCTTCCCTAGGAGGCATGATCACTGGAGTCCCCAGATGCCATTCCCAACAGCCCCATTGCCTAATATGGTGCTCTGTCGAGGCATTGTCAGGGGGGCTGGCAGTGGAGAAAGCGTTGCCTCCAGCATGCACTCCTCAGCCCCTTGGGAGAAGATAAGTTCTTCACTGGGTTGTAATGATGCCTCTCGAGCTACAGTGGAAAGAGGCTGCTCAAGGTCCAGTTACCCCTGGATTGGTACCATAATGTCAACTGGGCCTTCTACTAAGCAACTAAAGTTAACTTCTGCCTCACAGTTTCTAAGACAAAAGGTAACGGTCTCTTCTCTGCAGTTCCTTATTTAAGAAGCCAAGAATGTTGCATTTCAGTGGTTTGTGTAGTGCTAAACACAGACCTTGCGTTATTCAACTGTTGTGAAACTTGTAAAGCAGCTGGCTATATATAATTCTACAGCAAGAAAGGAATTAAATTAGCTGTCCTTTCTACATGGCTACTCAGAAAGGATAGTATATTAAGAAGTGTAGTTAGCAAATAAAGTGAAAGCACAACTGTCACTTAGATAACGTCTCCAGAAATGCTTTCATGCCTCAGCCATGTCATGAGATGCATTCAGGATTCAGTTTGACATAGGATATGAGCACTTAGAGCCAAGACATTTTTATTTGTGATTTATAATTATACATGAACACATACACTCTTGAAAATCAGCAGGAGATGCAACTTGACCCATTACCAACAATTTTCCATCACTGTTCCACATATACTATGTTCATTTTTTCAGATAAATTAAGACTTAAATCTCTTGCTACGTATATAGGGATCACTAAGCTTTAAAAAGTTCCATGAGATATCCCATGTGCTGAAGTTATGGAAATGCTTAAGAACCATGTTAAATTGGGACTATCATTATTTAAAATTTCAATTCCATTTTAGGTCTGACTGCACTGACATCTGACCTGCATTAACCACAAGAAGCTTTGGCAGGGAACTGGCAGGGTGCTTGTGTGTGGTGGCTAGTTTTCCAGGGCTCTAAATTCCCACTTCCACTGGCTTCTGTGACAGCAACAAGCATAGAAACTCCCTGACATCATATATATTACTTTTCACATCGGAGTGTAAACATAACGAGGCATGCTGACAGTTCTAAAACAGTCTCCAGGTCCTACTCTACTACTGTGTTGGGAACAAAGTATTTTGGAGACTTGCAGTTCAAACCATTCAAGAACTACAGGTTATCAGCAAGCTTACTGGGAAAGAGGTCTGGCTGGATAACCCTTCTCATCTTGCGTCTGCGTACTCATGGCTACGTTTGCTTTGGGTAGGCTTAGGAACTCTCAGTGATATTGGAAAATGAGTAGAGGAGTGTTTTTTTACCCTTAGGTGAAGGAAATGACCTTGAGTATTAAATCAGGGCTTGCACAAAGTCTAAAGATAGCATTTCACCATCATCAGGCTTGAACATTCACAAGAGGGAGGAGGAAAGTCTCCTACACTAATTTCTCCCTGCAGTTAGATGTAGACTGGTTACAACCCAGCAAAGACTCTGGTCTGAACAGCCAAGGGATTCAGGATCTCACCCAGTCTGACCAGAGGGCTTACTCCCATTTACCTGAAAGGGAAACCAGGACTGTAGCTGCATCATCATGGATACAGGTATGATATCTGTCTGTGTAACATCATCGTATTAAAGCGACTTTCATATGTCAAAGAGCACGAGGATGGTCACTTAATGCTTTTTGTCACAAAGACCTGTCGACTTGTGTCAAATTTAAGTAGGTGGATTAAGCTTGCCTTGGGCATAACCTCAAGGGATCAGACAAATATAACTATTACGTGGGCATTCCTAAAGTGCTGACTCTGCTAGTCAGACAAAAATAGACAAAATGCTAGTTTGAGGAGAGAGCATGGGTCACCCCAGCCCTTGTGCAGTTGTCATGTGTAAGGATTGTCCCCTGTGCGGGGCCTCTATAAGACATGAGAACTGCTGTTGTGGCACATGGCTTTCCCCTGGGGTAGATGCTCCACTGAAATAGGTGGGCTGGGAATGACCAAGGATGTGGAACAGTTGCTTACAGACCTCATGTCCAGATCATCAGCAGAGAAAAGCAGGAAAGCTTCTTCCTTTCAGTGTTACTTACATTCTCTGCAAAAAAAAAGTGCTCTGAAGAGGAGAAATAGCTCAAAAGAGTTTGACCATTTTTTACGGGTCACTTCACCCAGGCCAGTAAAGAGTCACAGTGGCATCAGTGATGATTAAAAGCCACAACCTCATCTTTTGGAAGACAGGAACTTACTCAACAAACTGTAGACATTACCAGAGCACGATGAGCATTTCATTGGGAAACAATACTGTCAGCAGATCCCAGATTAAATGAGCTGGGAAGCAGAGGGCTTGATTCAAAGTCGCTTGGAATCAATAAAAGCACTCTTGATGTATTCAGTTGGACTTAAATTGAAGTAAATACTATTCTTATCAGTAAAGAGTGGAATACTCAGCATTCTGCAAAACCTCAGTACAGTCATGCGGACAGAGTCTGCCCACTGCCTCATGAGTCTCCGTTCTCCACTGAGAAATAATCTGATTTGTGTGCAACTTCTGCAGACAGTTTCCAATCTGAGTGGAACCAGGAAACTATAATACCACTGAAATCATTACCTTTTTTATGAATATCCATGGATATTTTCTGTGTTGCTTTCTAAATAAAGCTACAGAAACTGTTTTAAACACACTTCAGTCCTAGGCCCTGAGAGCAAAAGTCATTCTACAGATTGAAGTGAATAAGCAGCAGTGCTCTGGTGGCTGCCTAGACGACTATTATTGTGGCCAAGAGTGTGATGGAGCCAGACTGATACATTTATTAATGTATGTCTGTTTTCTGTTTCCACTTGTAATGGTGATGTAGATAGATGAGACTGCCGTTTTTTGCTCACTGTGACTGTTAGACATGAAAACAGCAACCTCAGGTTAAATACTGTCTCTTATTGCAACAAATTGAACAAATCAGCATGTTCACTGAAGCTGGGATTATTTTTGTATTCCAGCAATTAAAAGTGTCATAATTCAGTGATGCATCTTCAAGCAGGGACTGGAAAAGAAATAAACTTCAGAGAGTTTGCTTAAAAAATTTAGTTTTGCATATGATTAAAATTCAGAACCGTTCCTAATGAATTTCAGGTTGTAGAAGAAAAACAACCCGAGGATAATAATTATTCCCAGCATACAATCTCACCTACAATACTGTTGTTTCAGGAATAATCTAAATACTTCCACTTATAAAGGATTTTAAGGGCCACAGGATCTGATCAAACTGTCATATGATAAATGCAGAATGTTCCCTGACTTAAGGACTGAAAAACTGAATGAACAGTTGGAACAAAAGCCTAGAAATAGTCAATTCTGTGGAGCTGATTAGACACCAAAGGAATAGTTTATAGGTCCACTTGAGAAGCTGCAGTGTAATTGGTGACTCCAGACTTTGTCTTCATTTCTATCCATAAGTACATAAAGCAACCATTGCTTGTGTAGTGTTTGTTTTCCTTGCAGTTCCCATTTTCCTAAAATGATGCTATTAAATCAAATCTGATCATATGTAAGCTTCCACATCTTTCTCATTTCTTATGAGAAATTTGCTTTCATATAGGAATTAATCTCTAAAGCACACTGTAACCATAACCTTGAACAAAAGTTATTTCTTCAATAAAATATGTGTTTACATATCTATACTATGTTGTCCTACATTTGTGCGAGTAGGCTGTCCAGTAAAGGACTATGTCATCCATGCACTAACCCTCGCCATATTTAATTTCTGGTAGGTAGGAGGCAGCCATCAGCAGTCAGCACCCTCATCAGATGGTGCAAGACTTCCTTGGCAGTCTTGAAGTTGCGTGTGTACTGTAACTGGGAACTAGAAGGCTGCCAAGTGTTCACAGTATTTAAAATAGATAAATAAAGCTAAAGTTGGTGGCTTTACTCTAGTTATCAAGTTCCCATGCATTCTCAAACTCTTTTTAACCTACTTAACCCACAAAGCACCAATATAGAGCAATTAAATTCCATTTGTATTTCCACTGTATCTGTCTTCTCTTACTTTATATGAAAGAAATTAATCCATAAAAGTTAGTTCCTGAGCTCTTGTCCATCTAAGAGAAAAAAGAGTATTCATGCTTGTATCTCACAGGTCACAGACTAGCAATAGACTACAATTTGAGGGCCACACTTAGCTGAATTTTTTTAACAAAATATTTTCCGTTGAGCTTTTCACAATTCCATTTCTCTAATTGATTCCATGATTTAAAAACAAATATCTTTTTCAAACTTCCAAAACCAAAATTTTTTTATGCTATCTTGCAAAATCTGGTAGGCAAAGTTTTACTGGTTTCACCATTTATATGGCAAAAGGATTTTGCTGAAATGTGTTATAGTATTTACCAAAGTGACTTGTGCTGATAAGGTAATTTAGTTTCCCATCATGACTGTACTTTTATGAAAAGGCTTTGTCAGCACAGCTGTACCTGCAAAGCCATTAAAAAATTCTCCAGGCCTGAGTCTGTTTGTGGCTGTATTGATTTGTCTTTTATTCCACATCTTGATGTGTTAGGTTTTATTTCCATGTTTGAAAATAATGACATTTTATTTTGAACTATCATTGCAAAACTTGTTATAAAATGAGGTGTATGCAATTCCAAATGTCACTGAAAAAATTGTTAGTAGACATTTTCCCCATAATATTTGCGTAGTGAAAACTGTGGAAATTCCACCCAGAGTCAGCTTCTTCCTACAAATGGTAGCTCAATGACAGAGAATCTCAAACTTTTCTGTATTATGGCACCCTCTCAGTTTATATACCACCACATTAATGTAAGTCTGAAATGATTTCCTGCTCCTGAAAGTCTGTACTCCTTGCCTACCTGTTCTCAATCATTTGAGCCGTTCTTTAATGTTGCTTCACATGATGTACTATATGGTTCTGGTTCCAGTTAAACAGAGGAAGGTGAAAACTGGCTGTGTAAATATTGCCAACAACGATCAATAAAACAGTCCTGAAATACATGATCTGGACTTCTCAGCCTCATAGATTTATCCTTCTGTTTTTATACCTGAAAGCCCCAGCTCTGCTTAGTCTCAGCAGTTAGCACAGATTTCTGTCTTGTGCCGTACTGAAAAAGAGCTGCAGGTGTGGTGGAAGCTCTGCAGAATCGCTCCCACTACACTATAGTTCAGCTACGAGTATTCACTCTGCCTTTTTTTTTTTTTTTTTTTTATCGAGTATGTTAAAAAGGTCCCATTAAGGTCTGTGAAGCAACTCCCGCTACCCATCTAAACCTGATGGTCTCTCAGATACTTGCCAATGACCCGTAAGGGGCGCTGCTGGCTAACGGTATTGCCGGTGTCCCCCTCCCCGTTTGCTCTCTGGATTCCCAGCCCCAGGTATGACTGTGATTCCCAGGGAGCAGGGAGGAGTCAGAGAAGGTCTAAGCCCTGTCTGCAGGTGAAAAATTAGCCATGTGGCTCACAGGTCAAAATTTAGTGATCTGTATTTTAGTATTTGCAGGGACAAAAGCCACACAGCCATAGGGAGCCAGGTTTTGTTAGGTCCAATGTTCAGGAGACAGTCTTTTCTGCATAAACACAAAATACATGAGCACAGCACAGTTTTGATTTCTTTAGATTCATCACATGTTGCAACACATTTTTAATGTGTTAAATTGCCTGTAAAATAACATGATTTTTTGACAGCAGGTGCTAATGAGAAATCAAGCTTTCAAAATTACTCGTAGCCCAGCCAAGTGGAATTCTTGTTTTAAATAACCCAAATCTAATTAATCTTTGTTATGCATTTACTGAAATCAATTAATTCACTCATTATAAAAGTTTGATCCCGTGAAAAAAAGTATGGAATAGGTAGCCTTTATTTGCAGTTTCCGATCTTTCCTTGCAGTAGTTTTTTAATATTTTTTCTCTGGAAGCAAATATTTTCATTTGGTTCAAGAGATTCCCTAGGGAAAAATAAAAGAAAAAGACACCACGATATGATACCAGAGATAGCAGTACACTGAGTAATGCTAACTTCCTTTCTGTGCACTGCAAAACATAATAAAGTGGACCAAATTATTGGTTGAAATACTTCATAAAACAAAGAACTGCTGGTCAGAAACTACAGTAATTTATTCCTCAAGTTTAACAATATATTTTCAACGACAGTTGCACTTCTAATTATAGGATAAAAGTCAGCAATAAAGTTGAAAGGGCAGTTATTTCAAGAGATGAGTACTTAACCAGTAAAGAACTTCCTTTCAGATT